TATAATAATTAACGGTGACGTCACTCCACATGGGGGGCCGAGGCGCCTCTTCTCGGCATCAACTTACAACTCGGGCTGAACGATTAATCGATTTCAAATCGAAATCGCAATTTGATACAATGCGATTAGCAAATCGCAAAGGCTGCGATTTTTTGCGATTTCAAAAGTCCTATTACTTTCTTATTGGAATTGTTTTATTTTTAGTTATAACTTTGTTAATTTACCTTTACAATTGTTACATGTTTGATTGTTCTATTTCCATTAAAACATTTTAATAAATACATGTTGGAAGCAATTCATATCTTCTAAGTTCTCATCCTTGCATTAGAATATATAGAGCAGTTCATATTTTGATGGTATCATGTGGTAATGCTCCATCACATGTTTTAAATCTATTACACAGTGAATATTGAACTAAAGCTTGACTTAAAAAAAATTAATCGCAAATCAAATCGCAATATCTGTCAGAAAAATCACAATTAGATATTTTTTCCAAATCGTTCAGCCGTCCATACAATCCTCACTACAAAGGCAGAACCCTCACGTCACACGATCTCGGTAACACTATTGCGACATAGAAGTAAAATGACGTCATGATGAACAAGAGATTATAACCTTAAAATGAATTAAGTCTGTGTCACCACAGCCTTACAAATTGCAAACGAATGGATTGAATGGATGCAATGAATATCACGACGCGTTGTGCTTTTCGCTTGCAAGTTTCAGTTTTACTACAATACACCCGTCCTTGGATGGGCAAAAGGCTAGTGTATATATTTTTTAGCTTTTAATGCCAGTGTGAATGACGAATGTGTTTTTTTGTTAAAATAATTTCATACGTTCTGACTACTCTGCGACCCTGCTGCAATGTAAACAAATCTTAAAGCTCTACTTTCATTACACCTCCGATTCGCGTGGTTGTCTACGTACGGTGCAAAAGAAGTTCAACACACATATATAAAATGTCGTAATTCATATCGGAAAAAAATCCTCTTACCGGTAACTCCACGCGGGAGATGTAGGCCATAAAGTAAAGTTGGGTAAATTCGCGGATAAGGAATCAATTGCATTGCACGATTTAAATTCCCCTTTATGTCAATGCCAATTCAGCCCCAACTGTCGTTGTGTTCAGCCGATGGGGCCGCCGCAGCTGTAACACACGGTCGGTAAATTGGGTGCCACGTTGTTGTTTTTTTACAATGAAGTAATATTGCAAGATGAGTTAGAAGAGTTGTTAATTTTGTGAAATCGAAGTCATTTTGACTTTGGGCAATTATAACCGGCGGGCAGGAACAATTGTTGAAAGGCAGGCAAAGGAGGGGAACACATCACAGGGGGGCATCGTCCACGGAGATGCAGCAATGGAGATCGGCTCGTGTGAAGAAGCAACTGACCTCATTGTTGCACCGTAGGCACATGCGGATTGCTGATGACAGGACTGCATTATATATATATTTTTACATTGTTGAAATTTAATCCCATTTCACCTGTTTGCGTTCACATGGGTGTTGTTATATTTCGCTACAATTGGGAAGTCATGCCGGTATTTTAATAATTGTGTATACATTGTGATTGTGTTTTGTTTCGCATCGACTTTCTTTTGTTACCGATGTGTGATGTATTTAAATTCAGGGATACACTGAAAATCAGACATAAATAGACTCAATGAGCTCACACCTGGCTCTAAATATAGGAACAAAATACAAAGGGGATAACATTTTACACTTATATACAATTTAAACCCAACAATCTCAAAGCGCTTTCAATAAAAAAAACACAGACATGATAATGAACAAGAACAAGGACTGGTTCTGGGGAAAATAAAGCATTAAAACAAGTCACAGCAAGCGTAAAGACAAAGTACACTTCACGAGACACGAAGTGATTCAACTTATTTAGTTTTTCGTAGAGTTCGGTTACGGTAGAGCATGGGGTTGGCACCAACATAATAGCCCTTTTATCGAATTTGCAAAAAAAAACCTCAATGTTTCAAGAGCTGCAATGCACTGTGAATACGAGAGACGGTAGATCCTTGGTAAATAACGTCACGAAGCATGCCTTAAAGAGCCGACTGCTGATTATGGAATTATGATGATGGAGTTGGAGTTTAGGGCTATAAGCAGTGTAGGCTTATGGGTAGCTACCTTTTTCTTTAATCCGAGTCTGCAATGACAGTGGAGTCTCAGGCGAGGTAGATTGTGCAGCTGCTGTAGTGCATTGAATTGCGCTATACTGTGCTGTATTTATAAAGTGTGATTATATTATCCAAAAAACAGCTGCATAGGCAGTCACACGTGTGATGTGTATGGGCATTGCATATGTGGTGCGTACAGAGAAGGCATTGTCAACTGGTTATGATTACACATTAGAACCCTGCTCGTTGTATTATTCAGTCACATACCTGGCGAGTTCTGGCTGTTTTCATTCAACGCTGGGACCTTCTAAAATCTTGCACTTGGTGCTGACAATTCAACCGGGAAGTTGATGTTATTAACATGCAAATATAAGTACGGGGTCTACGATTCCAATTTTAAAGTAAAAATAAATAAACATGGCAAATGCTAAATTCGGACTGTTATGCGCATTGATTACGTGGGGCGTTGAAGCACCAAATGAAAATGTTCCGCACAAAGAGTCGAAGCCTCGAAGGGGGATGTGCGCTGTGTGACCAGAATAACCTGTTCCTGAAATTAACATTTCAGTCCGTCCTCCCCACCAGCAGCAACCCACCTCTTCCTGCTGGCTTCGTGGTAAGTCGCAGTCGTGTGTCATGCAGCGCACACTGAGGCAGAGAGAGAGAGCGAATAGTGGATGGCAGCGAATGATTGCGTTTATTTCTCAGAAGTTGAATGCACCCCAATAAAACAGATAACCCACCCACTGTGAGGAAGCAACACGACACTCCTGTTTACAGCTGAGCACACCACTTGCATTCACTACACGAGGTAAATGCCCTCGGCATCCAGAATAGCTGCTGCTGCTGCAGCTGCAGCGCTTGCACATTAAGTCGAAAGGGGCAATCGTCGATCGTCGCCCGATGAATCGCGCGTCCTTGGCTTCAGACCGCGTTGCCCCCCCTCCGTGTTTCCTTTCTCACAGCTGCGCTGCGATGGCTTCCGAGGGTGACTCCAACAAGCGTGTGCTCCATCGGGTGAAGGACACCCTCAAGATCGAGGGCCCCGATCCCTCCATCACCGACCTGCTGGACTTCTACCTCAACAACACCAACATGCACGGCATGCGCCGAATCGCAGTCTCAAAAGGGCCCATCAAGAAGACGATTTGGATCGTGTTCTCGCTCATCGCAGTGGCGATGGTGTTCTGGCAGGGCATCCAACTCATACAGAGCTTCTACTCCATCGCCGTGTCGGTGACGATCAACTATCAGAAGATGCCCTTTCCAGCCATCACCATCTGCAGCCTCAATCCCTACAAGTGAGTGGTTTTCTGGATGATTTAATCAGTTGTGCGTTTTGCATTTCCACGCAGAGTTTTGTAGCCTATAATAAATACACACCGCCATCAGCCACTGCTGGATGAAGCACCCTTCCAAGTTGCCATCTCTCACGTTCAATTGATGTACCGATCGTTAAGATAATTGATCCGTCTCCACTGTGGACGTTCCCTCGGATTCGCTCCCTTCTTTGGCTGCTCCTTCGTCGTTATTCTCAGCCACCGTTCGCTCGAGTGACGTGCTGCCAAAGTCCCACTTACATTTCCGAACACACAACATTGTCTAGAACCGGTACGTGTTTTCTAACACGTGTTAATCGCATTGGCTCTTCGGTGTGATTTCAAGCACATACATCAACTGTGCTGCTGCTGCTACAGATGTAACCGGTACATTTTCAGTATTGTTACATGTGGACTAAAGGAATATCTAATAGCAAGTAATGGGAAGACAAATTAGTACGGGTAAATTCAAACACCGTAATCACTAACGGTGTGTTAAATATATTTTTTGGTTAAATACCGCGTTCATAAAATGCCTACGTCAAAAAAATATATATCCACATATAGTACAGTAATGAAATGTCAAAAGAGGTTCACACACTCATCTCGAGTGTTTTTTTCATTACGAAAATATTAGTTAAATAAAATTCTAAAGCGCTAAGCTGGTAACACTAAAGTATTTTAAACATTAACAACACAGTTAAGCAATAACATGAAAAATAAGAATACGTTTTACCCTTTCTGGCAATAAAACAGGCGTTATGATGTTCAAAACACCAACGAGACACCCTTTGCAAGGAATGTTAAGTCTGCATTAACCACACGTACTCGTGGTGAACATGCAAACAAACGTGATCTAATGATATATGTCATTGTCTTTGAAACTGGTGCAGATTTGAATCCTTGCAAAAGGTTTCTATTTGGTGTTTGAACATCTTAACACCTGTTTCATTGCCAGAAAGGATAAAACCTGTTCTTATTTTTCATGCGTTGATACTGACAAAAAGGTGCCATGATCTAAGCAATGTCGTTTGGTGCCAAGGTTTTACACGCAGGTTTCTGTTGTTGAGGCGAGGCATCTTTGTGCAGGACTGGATTACGTTTGGTGGGGGGCTGGGGCCGTTATAGTTTTGGGGGGCAGGAGGGGGGCCTCTTTGTTGATGTAATTCCTTACCTGACTGTTTTATCTCCCACCCATATCCGATACCCCCCCCCCCGCCCTATGTCATTCAACTTGGTCATTTCAAATCTCGTTTTAAAATGCGATTCATAAAATGTAAAGCTAATTCAAAGTTCAAATGATCACATTTATTTCAGGTTTGGCACGTAATTGTTCGAATACACATTGTGATATCAATGATTTCATGCAGCAACTTCACCTACAGGATGTATCGCAATGCCTACAAGTATTGCGCTTGAGCCTAGAAGCCGCGGCGTCGATCCCTACCCAGCCAACGCGTACCAAAGTTCAGAGCGGGGCACGGCGCTTCGTCTCCGCCCGATCTAATGACGCCTCCTGCGACTGGCGCGCGTGCAGATACAATCAGTCCCAGGCTCTGCTGGAGAAGCTGGACAGGAACGCCGCCGTGGCCCTGCACAACATCGGCATCGCGGTGACGAACCTCAGCGCAGCGAAGCGGGACGACGAGCCGCTGCCCATGCCGCTGGTGTGGCTGGACACCACGGTCACCAATCAAACCGTGGTCACCGATGTGATCAGCGGCAAATTCCACGTTGTGCCGGGGGAGGTGGAAATGAGGTCGTACTTCAGCCAAAATTATCAGTCGTCCGAACCTCTTATCGCTATTGAAGTGGTAAGTTTGCTCTTTACAAACACTGTTGATTGCAGTTATTCGCATTCAATTTTTATGCGTTGTATAGATTTCCCTTTATGCGTGTTTTGTATTTCCATCCAAGGCTGTGAACATATGTCCAAGTTCCAGTTTGATGCAAAAGTAAACGTTGATAGAGCTTTAATGCACTGACGATTTGCGCGCGTGTGTGTGCGTGTGTGTGTCTGTATGCGCGTGTGTGTGTGCAGTGTGGGGAAGAAAAAAAATGTATCTACAATGCCTTCACGTCCGCCATTGATGCTGTAATGCAGTGGTACCGCCTGCATTTCATCAACATCATGGCCATTGTGCCCGAGAAGGATAAGGACAAGCTTGGGTACAGTGCCGATGAGTTCATTATCGGTTGCCTCTTCAGCGGAACTGTTTGCGATCCCAGGTAAAGCCACTGCCTCTCCCCAGCGCTGCGCTGACATTGCACTATTAACTATTTAAACTAATTATTTTACCAGGTAAGGCCCACTGAGCCATAAAGCTCTTTCTCAGAAGCGACCTGGCCACAAATGATAGCTCAACTAAGAGGCTTATGACATGGAAATTTCATGCAGCCAAATACTCTAAACGCGTGTTCATTCGAAATGTGGCGAGAAAAACATGGAGGTCCCGGAGAGAAAAATCCACGCGAACAGGTGGAGAACACGCAAACTCCAAATATACAGCAGGCGTCAGGGTCGGGATCAAACCCACGACCTCCTGAATACCAGGCGAGGTAGTTGACATCTCGCCACCTTGACGCCCAGTTGAGCCACACGCCAACAGCCAACAGCCACAGCCGTATACTGCGCATGGCAGGTGAATCGGGGCTATTTGTTTATGTTATATGTAAAATAACTTTTTTTGCACGATGGTATTTTAGGTATTTCCGAATTGTGAAGCAACAATGCGATAATTGGAAGGGGGAAGAAAAAACTTTATAAATACATACTATTAAAAGAAACATAGTTAATCAATGCATATTCATATTTACTGTACCTTCAACAGCGTGTCGTTAACAGGTTAATGATCGGTAAAAAAACGCATTGAATCTATGGAGGCTCGCCGTTAAGCGATTAGTCGTTAACAGTGGTTCTTTAGTAGTATGTTCTACTCGATGGCAATTGGTGCTTCAGTTGCAAACATTTAATCATTTGTTCAATTGAACTGCGACCTTGCCCTTTTTCCACAGCTTCAAGAAGTTACAACATCCAATCTTGGGAAATTGTTTCACTTTCAATGACGGACGCGATGGGAAAGTTTGGGTTGCCTCCGCCGGCATTGACTATGGTGGGTGCTGCATTGCGCTACCCAACACAGATGCAATCTTTAAATCTTCGATATGCTATTTTTCTTTATTCCCTCACCGCCCCACCTCCCCCCACCTCTAGCGCACAAAAATAACATTTTGAAAATCATCTACATTTTAAAACCTGTCAATGTTCGTTTGCAATTTTCAGGGCTGCACATGATTCTTAACACGAGGCAGGACATGCCCTACCCTACCTGGCCATGGGGGCCGGTGCCAAGATTGGCATCCACCTGCAGAATACACCCCCTTCATCGAGGCCGTGGGGATCAACATCCCCCCAGCCACGGAGTCTTCCCTGGACTTCGAGTGGTACTCGTGAACACGGAACGAAATTATCACGATCAGTATAATGGGTTCGGGTATCCTGGTTGTGCTCTATATGTTTCTCTCCGATGTTTTTCGGGTTGCGCCGTGTGTTGTTGTTGTGGCTTGGTACGATGTCTGACGTTTTGCCCCACGTGCCGGGAGCTCCCGCAGGAATTCTCCAAGAAGTGGAGCGAAGTGTTGGTGGGGGGTCGGGGAGTGGCAATCAGGCGAACAACGGCGCAGTATAAGCCAAAGGAACGCATCGGGTAGAAGCAAGTTTAGAGCTCCCTGTGAGAAGCCGACACGTTTTGTATGTTGTTTCTGGTAAGTTTTGTAAAGAACGATGTCCAAAAACTCGGTGAGCCTTACAGCGACTGCACAATGGACGAAGTGACATCGATGTAAAAAGCCTCTACGACAGCCCATACTCGGTGCAAGTGAGTACCTTGACAACCGTAACTGTGTTGCACATCATGAACTGCCCTTGCGCCGGCAGAACCTCAGCATCTACCGTGCTTTTGGTTCACGCAAATTGAGCATGACCTCTTGTTGCAGCAGCCCTTTTGCCCACTTCAGCAATTGTTTCTTGCTGTGGTTGTCCCACCTGATGACGGACGCTTGTGTTGTGCCCGAAATGTCGTGATTTAATTTATTTTATTTTCTACCTACGTGACTTTACCAAAAGACCTGCCAGAACTCGTGCTTCCAGTTGGAGATGATCAAAAGCTGTGGCTGTGCCAATTACGAGCAACCGCTGCCTGAAGGATCTCACTTCTGCAACTACGACAACAACCCAGGCTGGGGTGAGCGGCTCCACTCAAAAGCGAAGTTGGACAAATGTTAATTTTGTACATTAACCGGTCCCCTTTTGTATTCTCGTGCTCCGAGACGACAATGATTCACGCTCTACTGCTTTCTGTTCCACCTTCCCCTTTTCAGAGTACTGTTACTACCGCCTGTACGACATGTACATTAAAGAGGAGCTCAAGTGTATTCAAGTCTGCCGACAAATTTGCTCGTGAGTGTAAAGAAAAAAAAAACACGTCTCGGTCGCATTTCTACTGAACTCCGCCTGTCCCCACGGTGATGCGGGAGGATGGACATCGCCGGTTCTGTTGTCTGTGAAGTTGTCTACAAATTTACGCCACTTAAAAATTACCCACCACCTCTTCACTTTGACTTTCAGGACACGTCGGGTACACAGGCCTGGCGGATTTATTCGGCGTGCGGTTGTTTTTTATGTCACCCAACATTCTGCTGCGGGCCTTTGTTCATGTGTACAGCAAAAATCGAATACAAAAAAGTATTTAAACAACAAATAAATCACTGATAAATGGGATAATGTAATGAATAGTGCTGTGGATAATAGGAGATTTTTTTTGCAGACTCTACAGCTCCCACAAATAGAATTTGTGGGCAATTGGGTCGTGGATGGAGGAGTTCTCCTGTACCGTGCTGCCTTGTGTCAACAGCGTGCAGTGCTATGGCTCACACGATTACGAGCCATTTCAATGCCCCACCTACTAAGGCGGTGCATTCAAATACGTTCAGCTTGAAGGCAAGGAAACCACAGCCGAACCTAAAAAAGGCTGGTTGTTGTAATTACTGGCGAAACGTCGCAGTACTCGAATTGTAAATGTTGTGGGTTTACTCTCCATGACACAACTGGTGTGCTGAACTCGTAACGAATTGGCCACGTTTTGTTTACGTGACAAACCGTACTAATTGGCTGTGTCGGGTGGTGGCGGGTTTAATTACACATCTATATTTACGCGATCTAACCCAAAAATCCTCTTATGGACTAAAGGGATGTCGTTTGAGTTCAACCTCTGGTCGTATGACCTGGGATATTTGCATGATCTGTTTGTATTGTCGTACAGGGAGACGGAGCACGAGGTAACTTTGAGCCTAGCTGACTGGCCGTCCAAAGCATCTAAGGTAAGAGCACAAATATCATGTCTGCTTGGCCTAACCTTTTCTGTCGCTGTCGGGATAGGCTTACGTCCGCATCTAGTCTGAGGTGTCAGTGAACCAATGGCGATTAGTTTGGCCAATTAATTGCACGCACGTGCATGGTCCACCCCTAAATCGCATCCACCACACAAACCATGGCAGCAGATGCGGATATCCGATGCACAAATGGAAAATAAATCAAAACTCCAGGAGTGTGCGACTGTGGTCATCGGCAACCAGACCGTTCAACGTATAACGACGCAATGCCCCGATCCACAAATACGAAGGCGACATCACGGTGATACGCTCCGCTGCTGCTGACGCGGTTGTCTGGCTTGACCACCTGAATGTGAAAGTGTAGTTGCTCTGCATCTACATCAGCAGCCGTACGAATGAGAGAATTGCACGCACGTACAATTGCGCGCTTAATCCTCCGTAAACACCCGTCGCTAAAACGTGGACACCTTTGCAAACGAGATGTTCCAACCTCAATGGATTGTCCAGGTGGAATAGTTGAACAAGTGCACAGCTTCACAAATACCCAGTACTCAATTATGTACAGTACTCTAATGGTATATCATGGGCAGTACTGCAGGTCGAGTGTTTGATTTTTTAATAATTGACCCTCCAAGTTTGACACCACAGTATGTGAGTAAAACGTATTTAAAATACATTTAGGTGTCCCGCAGCGGTTGCTAGCTCACGTCGAGTATAACACGTGGGTTTCCCACATTGATAGCATTTGTCACGAGCATGGAAGACAAAATACTTGACATTTGCTGTGCCTCTAGGGGTGGCTGTTGCGTGCGCTTTCTGAAGAGCGAGGACTGCCGGCCAACGACACACTGAAGCCGTGAGTATTTAGCCAGAGGTGCCAACGAGAGAAATGTTTCATTCGCATCTCCATCCAAGGCCATTGACGTGACACCAAATGATTTGCTTCAATTACTATAAGGGGCTTAACATCACTGTCATTTCTTTTAATATCCCACGTTTGCATTTCTCAGGAGCGACATTGCCATTGTCAACATTTACTTCAAAGATCTCAACCAGAAGACCATTTCAGAATCTCCGGCGAGCAGCGTACGTCTTGCGTGTGTTGTTTAACACGTAGCAGTCGGCTTTCGTGATCGATATTATTCGTAACAAAGTTTTGTTTTGTTGGGTTAGATCGCGTAAATATAAATGTGTTGGTAACCCACCACCACCCAACACAGCCAGTGTGTTGGAAGATTATTGTAAATGTTGTGGGTTTACTCTCCAACACACCGGTGTGCTGAACTAGTAATTAATTGGCATGTTTTGTCTACGTGACAAACCTTACTAATTTGCCATGGTGGGTTAATGACACATTTGTATTTACACCATCTAACTCTTGTGTGCTTTCACGAAGAATTCCACTTCTAGAATATGAAATGGAGACTGAACACATCGGTACTGCCGCATAGGTTTCCGCACTTGTGGTGCTGCGTAGCTCTTCGATTTTTTTGTCTCCTGGGTTGTACCGTGCGCACTATCCAGCACGACGTCTGATGCTTTGCTCAGTGTGCCACTGAGCGACACGTGGTACAACCCTGAACCCCATCGGGTAGCCGAACCCAACCCATTAATGCATACTCTTTGGTTCTTTCGGTAAAGTCACATATGTAGAAAAAATAATAGATCGCGACGTTTCGATCGCCACACAAGCAATCGTCCTCAAGTGGGATAGAGATCCAATCCATTAACTGCAGAACTCCAGGAATCGGCGTTGATATCAGGGTGAAGCATTTGGTGGGCCCCGTAAATCCGTGGCGCACCGCAGAGGCTCTATAATCTGTAAAACAAAGTGCCGTGGATTTTCGAGAGGAGCCACGTTGCGTGTTTCCAAACAATTCAGCACAAATAAATGCGCGGATTACAAAGTTGGTGCAGCTGGCAACTGGATGAATTTGCCGCTTCTGGGAGAGAACCAGAAGTCTACGAATTAATGGGAGGAGCAGTCGCAAACCGCCAATAATCTGTGAGTTTCAGGGAATAGCAGATTCTTACATCGCAAATTATTGAACATCTGCAATTATTTAATTTAAAATCCTGTGTATTTGTACGTTCATATTTTTGTTTATCCTTGCATAGGCCCCTAAACCCTCCCTTCAGCCAATACAAGTATATGGCCCTGAATGTTCGATAAAACTATCCAAATTGATTTCATGGGGCAACATCTATACTGCAGCTGTGGCTGTAAAATATTTGGCTATAACCAGAGGCCAATCCACATGTTTGGATAGCCATTGTTATGACATTGACCATTTTTGAGACTTTTTATTAATGCAAATTGTAACAAAAAATGATTGTCATTTTAGATACATTTCATGATTTGGAAAACGTTTATTTCCAATTTGATACTCTCGGTAAAAAAAAAGCATCCCCTTCAGCCCCCCCCCCCACTCCAAAACGTTGGGTGCGCCAACAACTACAACCACAACTCCGGAACAATAGCAGGTGGAGAGAACCCGTGTGCAGACAGCCCTTGTGTGGCCCCCGTCTTTAGATCGTGACATTGCTCTCCAACCTCGGAGGGCTTCTGGGGCTCTGGCTGAGCTGCTCTATGCTGTGCGTCGTCGAGGTGCTGGAGATCTTCTGCGTCGACTTCCCGTGGATCCTGCTGAAGAAGCTGCTCGCGACGTGCCGCAGGACCTTCGCGTCCCTCGTCCGCGGCCCCGACCCCGCGCCCTCCGTCCACTTCCCCGTTCAGTTGCCCATGGGTGGCAGCCCAGCGGAGGACCCGCCCACCTTCCACACGGCGATGCAGTGCCCGCGCGAGCCCATTCCGACGCCCAACACGCCGCCGCCCCAGTACGACACCCTGCGCTTGCGCCAAATCGCCGGCTACGTTCCCGACGAGGGCAGCGACGGAGAGGATTAGCGCGGAAGCCGCCGGCGCCGCCGTCGGCACTCGTGTCGGGGGTCGGTCCGGAATTGCCGTCGTTAAGAGCTCACTGACGTGGGAAATACGTGAAAGCGGATATAAGCAGAACTCTGTTCTGTGCCTCCGCATGAGAGTAAAAATAAGTTTTAGTTCAACAGCCTATTGACTTTCCAGATAAATAGTATCGAGCAATTACCTTCCGGGTCTCATCAGCGGAGTTAAGATTTTCTATATGATGTCAGATTAAAAGATCTCGTGACAAAAGCTCGCCATATAAACATGGGATCCCATTCAATGCAAAAGGCTGCAAAAAGCAATGTGCTTTTGTCCAGACATTACGGAGCAGGATAATGTTTAAGTCATTGTGCCTTTGAAAGAAATACTTTCCTGAAACCTTAGCCTACTATATAGGGTGTACGAAAATATATAATCCATTTTAATGCAAACTAATTCGGCAGCATTTTGAAAGGCGTGGTTGAAATTTTGCCAAAATGTTCCCTTAAACCATTGAAGTGACCTTCAGCGGTGCAGAATGGTTCAACCATTCAAGACTATCACCACCTGGAAATCTCTCAAAACCCTAGGACATGTGCTGCCAAACGCCACGACGGACATGTGTAGGTTTAACAATGTTACCCATGAGATCAAATCTTCATACCACAGTCCCAAGTTTGTGGGTGTGGAGTTTCACAGTTTGATCTCAAAACTGATAGTCTAATTGTAATGTATTACCTCATGGATGGAACATTTTAAGGACACCCTGGATACTCGCCTGTGTTGAAATCAATGGTGATAGGTTTAACACCGTCAGATTTGGCACGGTACATGAAATACAGAAATTAATATTTGGTACAAAAGATGTATTAGCGGAGCCATCAACAGAAGGTGTGTACAGGATTAACTGCACTTGTGGTAAATGTTATGTTGGGCAAACAGGAACAATGGTCAGCACGAGACTAAAAGAACATCAGAGATATTTAATACTCCCAAATACAACTGTCAGAACACGCGTGCCAACAAGGACACTCAATTGATTTGGATAATGTTGAAGTTCTGTGCAAAACCAGCTACTACTGGCCAAGACTAATTAGAGAATGTATCGAAATTGAAATAAATAAATAAAATGCAACTGTTTGGATAGCTCCCGTCTTAGTGCTGCGTGGAAGCGAATCATCAAAGAATACAAAGAATACATTGTTTAAATGCACGCCGATACAAGCCACCATACTTCCATAGGGATTACCGTTGGTACAGCTATTTTAATACACAATGGACAGGAAGGACAAGATCAAAGGGCTCGCATAATGCGCATGCATAATGTACGTTGACTCATTAATCCCCCCCACACTTTGCGCAAAAGTGCAGAAGCGTGGTCACCACATCTACGCCTCTATATAAGGAACGAAACAAGTGGACTTCTCCACAAATCTGGCTGTTGTCTGATGAAGTATGGTTGTTATTACTGGCGAAACCTTGTACTCAGATTGTAAATGTTGTGGCTTGGCTCTCCAACGCACCGGTGTTGCTGTACTAGTGACGAATTGGCCACGTTCTGCTTGTGACAACCCTTACTAGTTGGCTGTGTCGGGTGGTGGCGGGTTTAATGACACATTTATATATTTACGCAATATAACCCAACAAAACCTCTATTGTGAATGGTGATACGGTTGATGAAAAAATAAAACAGGCATCAAGTCTGCATTAACCACCGATACTTGTGGAAAAACATGCAGACAAACATCTGATAGTATACGCATTGTTTTTAAAATTGATTGGCCTGCATTAGAGACAGCCTTCATTTTTCAACATCTAAGAGGGTAAAACTTTTTATTTTTCATTATTTTTGATACTGCCAAAAAGGTCCCCATAGGTGACGAGGTTGTTTTAGTTCTATGCTCGTCCACGGCCGCCACCACAGTGGCTCAAGTTTGATTTGAAATATGGCCTCGAATTGTACCTCCTCAATGTGCCGCCCACGATTGCCAGTTTCCGCATTGATGCAGCAGAGATGATGCTGGACGGCCGTTAGTGGCACGCAACTGGTCCTCCTGTAACTTACCATCGTACAGGAAATTGTGGCGTTTCCATCGCTTTTGTGATCGCCAATCGCAAAATGCACTCCATAAAATCATTCAGTCATTCAGTAATATTTTGCCTCTGCATTCTTGTAATCTAACGACTGCTGCTAACGCAAAAATATTTAAAGTTTAAACAATGTTACATTTTAGGTTGGTAAATTAGTTGATCGGAAGGTCCGTGTGTTGTGGGGTGAAGTATGGGTACTCCCTTCTCTTCCAAAGACGTCTGGTCAGGGTGGAAGAGTAGGCCAAATTACACTCTGGAGGGGCTGTCTTGACCTCCCTCTAGTGGAGGCATTTTTTTCATCCAATACTGAGCCAAAAATTTACATCAACATCCAGATTGCAAGTGCAGTCATCCCAGAACGTGCCAGTGATTAATGCTGATAGAGTTTGGCTGAAGAATAATGTTCGAGACTGCCTCTAGCAGGTGTGTGGCCACAGAGATGTGCAGTGTCTCACCACCACAAGTATCTCAATTCTTGATACAGTAATCTACTTTACAATCCTGTAAACTATTGAATGTTTCGAGACGTTATAATGTACAATAATGACGATATATTTTGGCCCGTAGTGTGAAATGGTTAACACATTTCTGTAGTGTGAAAAAAGTGAACATTTCACGTTAGTAGTTCCAGACCTGTTTTCCTTTACTGAATAGCTTCATGAAGAAATAACAGTTGGTCTCATTAACACATGCAGTATAATATGTCGTGTGAACGTTGCATACCTCCAGTTGAGTATTGCCGTGTTCTCCGGAATTTAAGTCGCTCCAGAAAGGAAGGTGCACCGAAAACCGGTGCCCGTTGTCAATAAAGTTGCACAAGAAGTCTTGTTACACACGGACACGCATGCACGCACGCCTACCAAATGGGAAGATACACCACAACTATTGCTTAACAATACGGAGGTAAAGTGTGCCTCATAATCTGGAGAATACAGTCGGCATGGAAATGATTGTTATTGGGTAAATGTCGTATATTTTAAAGAGCCGTTTAGATTTCTTTATGCAGGGTAGAAAAAGATGAGTTCATACATTGGCAGCAATAATTCATTTCAATAATTATCAAACTTAGAATAATGTGATTTTAATGCTAACAAAATAATAATGTGTTTTTATGCAGCAGAACTTAACTCGTCATGCAGCATGTTTAAATAATATATATAACATGTTTACAAAACAATATTTAACTTGATTTATATTTCTTTTGCGAAGAAATCGTTCAGACTATTTCATAAATCAAGGTGGTCATTGTGCATTTTCACCACCTCAAACTATATTCTGAAATCACGGGAAGCATCCTTTTAAGTATTACACTTCAATGTAACTAACATGCAATATTGCTTTGATAAAAAAAAAACTGACATGAGGCCTCTACAGATAATCATGTTTTAGCTTGTGTTTCACAAAATATATGCATTAAATTGTTTATGTTTGTATACTGTTGGAGTGTATTCTGCTATTTTAAGTTTTAGGACATTGTAATGCATCGATTTACTGCTATGCTTCACGAGTGAACATTCCTTACCTGCGTCTGGCCCACAAGGTGGCTTCCTGTATCACTACCTCAGGGCCAGAACAAGAAGAGAAAACTTCACTATTGCGTGGACATGTTACGTGTGTAGGCAGGTGTAATTTTCAGTTTACTGATCTATGCTAAATTAATATACGGCATAAAGTCGCATATCTAACTGGCTAGGTACTGAGATATGTAAAAAGTTGGATATTTGAACACATAGAGGATTTAGTTACTCTTTACTCAAATAGGCTAATGGACACACTTCGAGTGGAAAGTGCTTTAAACAGAGGGACATGCTTCACTGGTTTTTGGAAGTGAATGTGCGTGCTGCTAAGAATGTGTTACCGAATGCGAACAGGTCGGATTTGTGAACATCTATAGAAAGTGATAGTTCATACCGTCGTGGACAAATTCTGGACAAGGCGTGGGCGCTTAATTGGTGAGGCTGGACGACGGTCGGATATGCGACGTAACTGTAGTTCATGACGGTGCCATTCTGCGAAGGTCTTCCAGCGTTTACCTGCACTTCTAAATTTGGAAAACTTGAACGAGACATATCAGCGATCTGTTACAGATACCCTCCTCTAAAGTTTAGCTGGCTCAACTATTTCCGTCATCAGAAACTTGCTTTGTTGCACAATTCCGTTGAACAAGCGACGTTTTGCTGCCACTTTGGAATGAGACTTCGGCTGCTTGGCGAGGCGCACCAAGGCTCTTCTGAGCAATATTTTGAGATATTTTACCAAACACCAGATTTTGAGACGTTATACCTTAACATGAATGGAGACCAGAGCCAGTACTGTATAACAACAAATAATAACTACAAAAACATTTAGGAATGCAAAGGTTTAAAAGTTTGTCTCAAGATAAATATGAGCAAATAAAAAATAATCGACAAGTTTGCTGAACAATTTTTTTTTCATTTAGGCATATGAGTTGATCAAAACAAGAGAATATGCAAACGTAGAGCAATTATTTAAGGTAAATCATGCGGACGAGATCAGGATAGAGCACATTTGAAAACGGAATAAAAAATATGTAAAACAACATACTTTTACTTGATACAGCCGTCGTGGCTGTGACGGTTCCACCTGAAGACGGAAGCTTGTGTTGCCTCCGAAACGTCGTGATTTTTATTTTATTTACTTTTATTAATTTTAATGTTTTACCTACGTGACTTTACCGAAAAAACCTAAGAATATGAATCCTTGCAGTCACGAAAGTTTCAAATCTAGAAACATACCAATGTGTCTGGAAATTAGAGTTTCCAAACATTGCAAATTACCTGCTCAAAGCCACGACCATTTGTCGTCAGAGATTGTATGGTTATTGGTAGTGTCCGACGTGTGTGTGGATGAGTTGTTAATGTTTTTGTTTGCTCCTGAATATAATCATCCGTGGTCAAATACACTCCATCAAACGTGGATTTGGTTTACTTTATTACTATCGATCCGCTGCGTTCAACAGCCTTTGGCGCCATCCATTTAGTACGGACGCAAAAATCTGTCAACTTGACCCCCCCCTCCCTGTACACACGCGTACAGGGAGGGGTCCTCCCCCCCCCCCCCCGAATCCTATAGAACGGCTTCACCCCCCCCCCCTGTCCTATGCGTACGTACTAAATGGATAGCCCCTTTCTTTAAATAATATACATATATATGACGTACGTCTAGGCATTACAGTACAAAGAATGCATAACAGAAACTTGAAGTCCATAAAAAGAGAATAAGAAAATAATGCCTGTAAAATAAAACCAATGCAACGTGAAACTCTTACATTACTTTTTCAATTCATACAACCTCTTTGTGTTGGTGGGATCAGCGAACTCACAACATCTGATCGAGTCACAGGGACCTTCAGTCGGGAATTTAGTAGTGACAGTGCCACACATGTAGCCACCCTGTTTATGTCTTTATACTAACATGAATGGTTGGGGACATGAAAGAGCCCATTCAAGGCATGTCCTGTAATATTGTGGAGTATCTTTTGCCTTTATAGGCCAGAGCGTTGTTAACGAACGTGGTTGAGTTTTTTGTGTGTGTGTGAGTACGCCCCTGTGTTCGTGGTACAGGCAGCAAAGACAAAAATACAAAGACCCTTTCCCCAATATGGCCTTAACATACTATTTTCTATCTAAGTGACTTTACCGAAAGAACCAAGAATATGAATTCCTGCAGTCACGAAAGTTTTAAGTCAAAACCTTAACAGACTGCTGAGCCAAGTGCTGTTAGCGAACACCTATGAAGGCCTGCACGGTGGCCAGCACCACACCCGACCGCCTTTGAGGCTGAGTCGACCTAGGGGTGGTCCATGACTGGCTGTGAGTGGGAATCGAACTCTGGTCGTCGGGGTCGTAGCGCAGCACGCTAACCGCTGCGCCACCGCTCCACAAGGTGTAATAACACACCCTTTTCAAAACGCGTACCATTTTTTTATATACACCTTGTCAACCCCAGGAGCATGATAAACTACAGCAGTCGTACACAAAGAACGGTGACAATAAATTGTAAGGCACCAACGGTAGCGTTGTGTGTCATCTGAAGGATCGGACACTATTCTCAGGTGGGCTATCGAAGCGTTCTGCAGCAGCATTGATGTCCATATAATGTATAGTCCTATACCCGACATAAGCAGACAGACTGACATGGTCACAGCCTTCCTGTTACGGCTGGGGTCGGAAACCTGCGGCTCCGGAGCCGCGTGTGGCTCTTTTAAGGACCGCTTTGCGGCTCTTGAAATATGAAGGTAATTTTTTTTTTACCAAAGAAAACAATGTCTTCTCTTGTTAGTTTGGTTTGCCGACCCCAGCATTACGGGAAATGTTTAACTGCAATACAAACATTATCAAGTATCAAATGCCGGGCGGAAATTAATAACAAACAACATCTTTAGGACGAGATTAGGTTTCATGGGGGCCCAGGATTTTCATTGTCACCTATGCCCGATGCCCCAAAGAAACCCCCATGTAATCCACGATGGTTTATTTCAGTTCCAGATTTTAAATGCGATGCGTGACTTGTAAAGTAAAATAATAATATACGTTAAAATGACGACACATATTTCAATTCT